AAAAAAGAGGTCCCAAACCTCCCTGACCTTCCATCTGACATCTCCAATTGCCTGTTCAACACCTTGAACTGGATGTCCTATAGGCATTATAAGCTCAGCATGTCCAAAACTGAACTCATTATCTTTTCCCCAAAACCTTCTCCTATTCTTAACTTCCCTATGACTGTCAAGTATACCAGCATCCTAGATGTCATCCTTAACTCCTCATTCTCTCTCACCTAAGTCCTGTTGTTTTCTCCCTTGCAACATTTCTCCTACACACCTCCTTCTCTCTGATACTACCACCACTCGGGTACAAGTCTTCATCACCTCTGACCTGAACTATTGCAATAGCCTGCTGGTTTCCCCACTCCAGTCCACTCTCCACTCAGCTAACAAAGTGATCTTCCTAAAATATCCCCTCACCCATATGCAATAAAAAAAATACACTCCAATGACTCCCTATTACCTCCAGAATCAAATAGAGTATCTTCTCTTTGGCTCCTAAAGCCCTTCCTTCATAACCTGGTCCTTTCCACCTTTCTATTCTTCTTATTCCTCACTTCCCTCTACATACTCTGTGTGATCTAGTGACATTGACCTCCTTGCTGTTCCTTGCAGAAGACACTCCATCTCCAGACACATATTTTCAGTGACTGTTCTTCATGCCTGGAATGCTCTCATTCCTCATCTCTACCTCCTGGCTTCTCTGACTTTCTTCAAATCTCAGCTGAAATCCCATGTTCTTCGAGAAGCCTTTCCCAGGCTTCTGTAATGTTAATGCCTCCCCTCTAAGATTATCTCCAATTTATCCTGTATAAAGCTCTTTGAGGGACTACATTTGCCTTCGTATCCCCAGTGCTTAGCACAACACCCACCTAGCACGTTTTTGTTGTTCCGTCATTTTTCAATTGTGTCTGACTCTCCATGACCCCATTTGGGGTTTTCTTGGCAAAGATACTAGAGTGGTTTGTCATTTCCTTCTCCAGCTCATTTTATAGATAAGGAAACTAAGGCAAACAGGGTTAAGTGATTTCACCAAAAGGATGAGTCTAATCTAGGTGCATTTCTAATGGGCCTAACATTTATTATTGTTTGTTTATTTCTTTAATGTATTTATTAAGTCTATTATTATTAAGGGTCACAAAGCTAGTATCTGAACCAGGCTTTAAATTCAGGGTCTTCCTAACTCCAGGCCTAGTGCCCTATCCACAGCAATATCTAGCCAAAATTTGGATGACATCAGTCAGTCAACTAGTACTTACTAAGTACCTACTATGTGCCAGGAAGGCACTGTGCCAAGCATTGGTGATAGAAAGAAAGGTAAAAGTCCCTGCTCTCAGGGAATTCACAATCTAATGGGGGGAGATATGAAAACATGATCTGGATAGGTCATCTCAGAGGGAAGGTGCTAAGAATTATGTAAAAGATAAAAGTATCCAGGCAAAGTTCTATCTCTATTGATGTCTTCCTCTAACAACTCATTTTGATGTAGAAGTGACCCTGGGTCCTCAAACACTATGACAGTGGGGTGTGAGTTCTAGTAAGTCCTATGAAATTGCAAAGGTTTTGAGTATAAGTCCCCACAATATCTGTCATCTGACAATCAATACAGTTTTGTTTGAGAAAACTTATCATCAAAATTTTTATCCAACTTCTCTGCCCCCCAGTGATTATTTTTTTGGGAAGGGACACACAGTAACTCATGAATCTTTCTATTAAGGCATAGAGGGAGATTATTGGGTCCAGGCAGTACTAACATAGATGAAATAATGGCATAGCAGATAGAGTGCTGAACCTGGAGTCAGGAAGACTTGAGTTCAAATCTGACCTTACATACTTGTTAGCTAGACAAGTCATTTAACTTATATGCCTCAGTTTCCTCATCTGTAAAATGAAGATAATAAAACCATTAATCCCTTCCCCAGGGTTGTTATGAGGATAAAATGAGGATATTTGCAAAGCACTTTGCAAACCTTAAAACACTACATAGATGTAAGCTATTATGATTATTAATGAAGATTTTGGAGATTATGTGACCTCTAGTAAATCTCTATTTCCCTAGTGTTCCATTTACTAATAGGTAAAATGAAGAGGTTGGAGTAGGTGACCTTTAAAGTCCTTTTCAGCTCTAACTTTATTATCTCTTAGAATCTCTAGCTGCATTCAAGGATCAACTCAAGTGCCTGATTCCCTGAGTTATTGGCATTCCTTACCCCCAAGACCCAATTTCCTAGATATTTCAGAGGTATTTTCTGTGCCGGTCGCACCGTGCACTCTCCTCCTATAAGGAGCAAGCTGCCAGGGTCATACTACTTACT